TACATATATAAGATCTGTAGATACCTTCCCTCGTTGATTACCTGGTTCTGTATGGACGTACGTTTAATGCTTAGAAAAATATCTTGACAGTAAAATCTGTAACCGCAAAGGTAAAGAAAAATGATGCATTCCGCCCACTAGTAAACAATGCGCTAAGAACTTGTAAATTAAAGAAAGTTAAGGTTACAGATTTATTAAGTAGTGATTATATTCAGCTGTTGCCGTTGGATAGCTTCTGAGTCTTTGTGAATATCTGTTAAAGATTTGAATACAAATTTGACAGAGATCCAGCTGTTGTTAGTGCCAACCGGAAGCTTGGACAAGACACGTTTGTACGTCAGATCTTATCGATGATATAAACATTGTTACTACATACTGGAAATATTTTACTTACGCTTTCAGAGGTCCGCTTGGTGAAAAATACGCTTCGCAGCTAGAGAAAGAAATGAAAGGTGCCGTTTACGAGGTTGTTTCGCGAATCATGAAAACTTTGGTCAACAAGCGGATCACCGTTCCAGGTAGTTTCTTAGGGTACGTTGCCAACGCTTGGCCTTCACTGAGCCACTATTGTAAGTGGCTGTTGATTCACTCGCTAACCACCCGGTGTCGTTTAGCCACAGCGGCAGCCCAGCAATCAGTTGTGCCTATAAATCTGCGGCGGGTTTTCTATATCCGCTGGAGAAAGGATTCATGTACGTACACAAACCTCCGTTGCACATTCGACTCGAAGAGATATCGTGCGTGAACTTTGAAAGATCGGACGTCAGTACGAGATCATTCGATTTCGAGATCGAGACAAAGATGGGCCCTTCGTACACGTTTACCAGCATCGAAAAGTACGGATTGCGTCATGTCATTTTAGTAAGATAATCTGTTCTCCTCACAGGGATGAGTACGGCAAATTGTATGAATTTGTCACAAACAAACATCTGCGAATCAGCAATGTCGGTAAACGAACAGAAACGGTTCCCACCGAGGACTGTTTTGAGGGAAGCAGTGATGAGGAGGAAGAACGCGACCATTATGCGGAGAAACTGAAACGCGAGGCTGCAGAAAGAGAAAAGAACGCCAATGATACCTCTGATGAGGGTGCAGTCTATTCAGAGTGAAATTCTGTATTTCTTTATAATGATCGGAGATTGCTTTCAGACGACAGCGATTACAAAGAGGATGACGCTGAAATGGGTTCTGATGACGAGAGCAGTAGCAGTTCCTCGAGCGAGTCAGAAGAAGAAGCTGTTTCAGCTGAAGAGGAGAAGGATAAAAAGAAAGTAAAAAAGGAGGTTAAACGGAAACACCGTTCTTCCGACGAAGATTCTGTCGTTGCCGAGCCGAAGAAAGTAAAACCGCAGGTGATTATCTCGTGCTTTAGGTTTCGGTTGTATGGTTTCTGTCCAAAGTCAAATGGAACACTATTGTTAGAATAATAGGCAAACGGTTATTAACTGTGCTTTTAGTGAACGATTTTTGGCCTTCATGATATTCCTTGGATTGTTGCCGCCGTTTCGCATGACTAGAGAGGTATTGGATGGGGTTCCAAGAGAGCGTAGACGGACAGTAGTAAAACATATAGGTAGATTGTCGATGTCCGGGCGAGCTGAGAAGGTTCAATGGATCAGGATGGATAAGAATCGCAGAAAGCAGAATTTTATAGCACCGTCATAGAGAGGCCTTCAGCCCGCGGTTAATTGATTCAGTTTTATGATAATGATGTTGATCACTGTTTGACAGTGCATTCTTGAATGTATCGTGTGAATCAGTCGGTACAACACATATGGTTTTAAAAGATCATTACATCTCGTAAATCTGCTGATTCGTTAACCGTTCTCATCTTCCAGCCATTCCCTCTCACTCTTTGAGCCGGATACTGCGCTACTGCGAATTTCCACATCTTCGTCTGAAAATCGTTTGTCTC